CCCTGAGAACAAGACCAAGTTGCGACAACGAGGTCAACCCACTTCTATTTGTGCTTAATTGATAGATTAAAGGATAGAGAGGGAGTTGAGCCGTCTGCAAAAAGGAGGCGACGCAACTAGCCTTTTCTTGTTTTGGTTCTAATGATAGTCAATTCACTGTACATTTAGCTCACTTTTTCTCTCTCGCCTTAAGACCAAAAACAAAAAATAGGCTCATAAAAAAAACCAGACGTGTGTCCGACCTTGCGCAATCGGAGTGATGGTTATAACCTAAATGTAGAAAGGGGGAGATAGGGGTCATAAACCTTGATGGCCAAAAACAGACGTTCCTTTTTGCAGTCCTAATTACTTTGAGCCATCACTGCGGGTTTTGTGCATAAGCGAACACAAACAGACACATATAAATACAGAGACAGACATACCCACATGCGTCGAAGTTGACATATGACCTTAGCTAACCAAATCACTTTATACTTGATCAAAGAGGCCAGATGTAGAGTATATATACCACTTTTCAGTGATTCGCCGGTGAGTTTTCTTTACTCGTTAACTTGAATTTTGTTGTGACGATGTTACTTCGCTCTGATGATGTCCGTCATATGACGGACGAAAGCTTAGCACTACCGGAATCGAAGGAGATTGTTCGGAAACACCATCAGCATGAATATTACAGTAAAGCCAATCGACAGCTGGTTAAGAGGAATCCGCCCTCATCTTGTGGTGGAATCGACCTTCGAATCTCTTCACCCAACACTTTCACTCGCAATGGAAGTAAGCTCAACAATATCTGTGATTTTGTTGTATCATTATAGGTGGCCACGGGTGGACCGATGATTGTAAGGGACTATATGGAAAATCATTTAAAATATAAGAGATTTATGATTTCTATTCGTCTCTGGGCTGCTGCAATTAAATTAAATTACAGGAGAATCTCATATATAAAAGCATCCAGTAAAAGTGGTTAGTGAAGATAATTCGTAATAGGAGGGATCTCATATCCAAGGCTTTGCAAAACATTTTAAAGCAAGTTTTACAAAAAAAACACAAGAATCGACAAGAGTCTTCATGAAATCTAAACCAAAATCATCATCTTTATTTATTTCTCTTTTATTAAACTTACTACTATCGCATTTAAATTCCGTCCCATTTTTTGAATATACTTCTTCATCCACTCGATCTCATTAATTTTCATTTTTCTTCTTACTTGCTAAGGTTTGCTGAGCCGTATGTCAAAAGAGTGTATCTGCCTTACCTGATGCCACCGATCATCGGCAACGAAATTGATGAGTTTGTAGACAGGGAACGCAGTGGTACTCTGAGCGTCGGGACCGGAGAGCGTCTTAAACCTGGAAAATTTAGCAACCCAAACCAAAAAGTTGATAGGGTAAGTGGCTTTACCAAGTCATATACTGGTTGCTGAGGGAAGAACTAAATTGACATCTTGGCAATATTTCAGGACTTCTGATTTTTAACTAGTTATATTTAATTTAAATAAGATTTTCGCCTTGAGTTTCAAGGCAATACATTTAAATGACATCTGTGAGGCCTGGTTAAACTATTTAGTCGAGAAAAGCTCAAAATATTTCCAGATCTAAACCACCAATAAATAACTCATTGACTATACTGGATGGATCCACTAGTGTTATTTAATGTCGTTCTGGGGTCGGTCTTACAAAGTAT